AAGAGAGAGCTTTGTCTACTGAGGTAATAGAGGGTGTGGTGTGGGTGAGGAAGAACAAACTTCGGAACACTTTCCTTTGAATAAAGGCATTTGAATTGCAGATGCTAACTACCCCCTCCATGCTGTCCTCTAGATAGGTTGGACTTCACCTCCCTTTTTTTTTTCTTTTCTTTGCCAGCCTTTTTTTTTTCTTTGCCAGCCTTGGCCTTATTGTTTGACCCATCTGGATTATATCATGTTGATACTGTTTGGAGATGATGGAAATGATAATCCAGACTGTATGAAGACAGTTGAACCATAAATGTTCTTAGCAGTGTCTCCAATCAGTGTCTCCACCAGATGGAAACTCTATTTTTGCACTGTGCTGTGCTTCTGATAGTTCTTGGCACAGCCTTCTCCAGTTTGGTACTTTCTAGATGGGTTGGACTGCAACTTCCCTAATTTCCATCTCTTGGCCATGTGGCCAACCAACCTAAAGAGCAACAGATTGAGGAAGGCAGCAGGCCAGGGAAGGAACCCAAGAAAAAATGAAGTTTACAGAGATCTTTGGGGAGAGGTGAATGCTAGGATTCTTCTGCTTTCCTTTTCCCAGGATAGCAAAACACAGCAATATTGGGTTCTTCTCTTATTTTGTGTCTATGTATTGCCATGTACTTGTATGTAAACTTTACCTCCAAATGACCAGCAGTCGTGGTCATTGCCTTAATTGTCTGAACAGCATTAGCATCATTCTTTTAACTGATTAGCAAGTCAACTAGTTGATGTAGAAGTCTTTTGGCTGTGGGAAGTGTTCAGTATGTGTGGAGTACAAAGTCAGTAATAGGTCCCATTGTGAATTTGCTGCTAACAAAAAGCAGAGAGGCTAACCTAATTTCCACTAGGGCAGAGAAGTATTTTATTATTAATGTATTGGGTTTTTTACCAGTGTTTTAAGTCGGTAGTATGAATGAGTACTACCAGGATAAACATCAGAGACACAGAATATGTTTAAAGAGTTAACATTTTAATTTTTAAAACAGTGGTCTGTATTTCAAATCAGTTATTATCGTCTCCTTTTCAGTCTGCTAGATACCCTGCGATGACCAGCTTTACTCACGGTAAGTACTAAGAGCGTTAGGCAGAACAGTTATATCAGTGCCCTACACAATGGGTGTTTGGGGTCTTTTTCATCAAAATAAAGTTAATTTCAGCATGCTAAATTGAAAGCATGCATAATCAAGCATGCAATACCTAGCTGATATTGCTTATCTCAAAACATTAAGTAAACTATGATTAATGCTTGTATTGGGACTAGATTGGGAAGTCAAAACGTGTCTAGGAGAAAGGTACTTGATAACTCTGTAGTCACCGGAAGTCAACTTTGTCTGGAAGGGGAAGTGACATAAATCAAATGGGTCAAGTGTGTAGAAAGAGGCTGCAGGGAAGTCCTAAGTCAGCAAAGCTTCTCCTGGTACTTGGTTTGTAGGATAGGAGAAAGGGAAACCTACTTATGTAGTCTTCTATAAAAGGGTTGAAATAAACCTCAGGGTATCCCAAATTGTGTCACTGAAATTTGGTGGCAAAACCAAAGTTTATTGGTAGATCTTTTTTTTTTTCTGTCTCCAAAATATCATGTAGTCTTCCCCAACTCTACAGAGGTAAAGAAATCAACGTCCCTAGAAATCAGCATGACTTCGCTAACCACATGACCACACAAGTGCATGGATATCCAGGGCAGGAGAATCGGGTGTTCAGTGGGGCTACCTATGGCAGTTTGGTGTGCTTTGGGATAAGAAAACCTAAAGGGGCTATTAGGAACATGGATGCCTTCAATGAATTACACCATTCTTCTTCCTTTTGCTTGTAACAGAGCCTAGCCAAATAACCAGGAATGCTGGAGTATCTGAAACCCTGGTTTTGGCTTTGAGAGCCAGGCAAGAGGCTGAATGGGAAATGGAAAATGAAGAAAGCTCATGAAAGTTGGAGTGAAGTAATGTCCACCTGCACCAAGCACCCCTCATCTAGAACTCTGCTATTTGCACAAATAATGTCTCAGTAGGAACTGACAGAACTCCAAAAATGAGAATTTTTAAATCAAATTACTGTACGCTTTTACATTTGTTGAGGTTTTTCTTTATTATGACTTCAGAAAATGCAGGTGCCAAACTATTCTTTATGACAAGAATCTCTCCCCAGAACTTACTGTACACTTGAGGAAACAGGCTAATCAATTTTAAGATGGAAATCTGATAGTGGAGTAATATAACTTATTCCAGATTGTAACTGCCAGGAATAATTCCTTAAGCATTGTCATCATTTTCTCTCCAAATTTATTTTTATAATTGTAAGGATTTTTTTTTTTACAGAAATTATACAGAGATTTATACAGAATGATAAAGGAAACATTGATTTCTTTAAATGAACATGTATGGCGGCATGGTGAAAGAAAGGCAGGAACAGATTTACATTTTATGTCAGCTTAAACAGCGGTTAGTGATGTATTGGGGGAAACAAAAGTTGGAATATTATAACCACAAATACATATTTTGTCTGACTTAGCAGCTGCGCCTTAAATCAGTTGATAAGGAACCTTTTATTTGGGAACAATATTAATGGCAGTTGCCAACTACCTGTTTCTGCTTTAGCCAAATTATTCAAGTGAGAAGTTTAGCATTCCTAAGAAACATCAAGAATTTTATTTATGCTTGGCTGCAAAGTTTTAAGGCACCAGTTTTTGCACTAGTGTAACATCTCCTTAGTATTACGTTTCAGATGGTCCCATGCCCTGGGTATATGAGATAATTTATCCTCATTTTCTCCATTTTCTCCCCTTCTTGTGGTTTCCATTACAGCAGTTATCTAAAATATGTTATTTTAAAAGCCTTTGTTGCTGTAATCTCCAGCACACAGTGATGTTTTCTGAAGTGATACTTTCAATCCTGATGGAAACATCCCTTAGAAATAATTGGCATTCTTTCATATTTGGACAAGACTCAATTCTGCAAAGAAATGACTGAAGAAAAATGCAGTCCAGAGAACTGTTTCAAGTTTGCATGAACAATTTCAGTGTAAGTATTTCCTACAAGTTTCAAATGCAACCTTGAACAAAAGCTAACTTTTAAAAGTGTAGATGCAGTAAACATACCCCACTCCCATGCATCCTAACCCTGGCAGCTGTGAAAAGCTCCCATTCCCAGCTTTTCATTAAATGCCCCATCACATCAAAATATATCATCAAAATATATTGCACACTGCCTTGCTAAATATTTATGAGAGATTAAATTAACTCTATTATCAAAAATGCACTTTGAATTCATGTGCGGGCGGGAGACAGAAAATACTTGCATACTAGCCATAGTCGCAAGTGTTCCCACCGCACTCGCTACCGGTGGTCCTCAATTTATGACTGCAATTGGGACTGGAATTTCCATTGCTAAGCAATGCGGTTGTAAAGCTTAGCGACAGCAATCCCTGCAGTCCCTGTTGCTGTTGTTACCTGAATCCCACGGTCGTTCCCCAAAGTCAGTGGGGAAGCCGGCAGGAAGTTGCATGTCCCAGGCCTGCAGGCAGGTAAGTGGCTGCTGCCGGGTGGGGGAGGAAACAAGGGGGTGCATGACAGTGCATGGGAGGGCATGCGAGGGTGCATAGGAGGGTCAGGGAGGGTGTGCAAGATGCTCAGCACAGCATGGGGAGGGGGCGTGCAAGAGACTCGGTCAGGGAGGGTATGCTTGGGTACACAATTGGCCGGTGCTACGTGAGCACAGAGGGGCTTGGAGAGGGTTTGCAGATGGGGGAGACTTACCCCAGCAACTTGCAAACTTCCCTGCTGGCTTCCCCACTGACTTTCTGGGGAAGCTGGAAGGGAAGGTTGCAAATGGTGATCACATGATTGCAGGGCACTGCAACCAGTCCTAAGTGCAAACCAGTTGCCAAGCACCCAGACTGCAATCACAAGACGGTGGGGGTGCTGGAATGGACGGAACTCCGAGGACAGGTCATAGCCACCATTTGTTCAGCACTGTCGTAACTTCAAACCATTGCTGAATGAGGACTGCCTGTATTGTTCTTTGTAAGTACAGACTAACATTTCAAGTCATGCCAGTAATTTGTGAAGGCTAAACGTTTTGTCAGTCTAGCTGGTTGTTTTGATTTTGTTTTGATTGAGTATAAATCAGCCATTACTGTATGCCGTGTACCAGAAATGTGCAAAAATCACAGGTTTAGGAATAGAACACTGGAAAAACGGTAGAATGTTCCATTCTCTCTTTCAACTATGCTGACTGGGGTAGTTGACCATTTCTCTGAACTGGTGTCCTGGACAAAACAGGACTGTTTGGGGGCCAGGATACCCCCAGAACACCTTGAAACCACTTCTGGTTTAGAGGATTTAATTCTGGGGAACCACCCAAGCAGCATGGACCAGCAGAGGTTTCGGGTGGTCCAGGGGCAGAATGGAACATTCAAGAATTTTCCAAAAAGTTAATTTCCCAACCCCCTTAGTCTTGTACAGCTCACTTGTAGCAAATAATTTTTTCCATTTAAGCTGCACGTGCCTACTTGATTAAAAATACTAATTCTTTCTTGGATGAAAAGTGATAGTAATGAGAAATCTCAATCTAAGCAAAAAGAAGAGACTTTGGTGCAATCTGAAATGTAATTTTTTTTACCCCCGAGGGAAGCAATGCAGCCTTCGTGAAATAAAATCATAAAGTTCCACTGCTGATGAACTTTAGTTGACTAATGAAGCCAATAAGCAGTAGAAGATCAAGCTAGTAATGAGGGTCACAATCCTCTAGTAAGCTGTCGGTAATATAGCTTGCCTGGAGAACATTTTCATAATACATTTTTTCAGCAAGTGAGTTGACGGTCCAAGCAACAACGTGAACTCCTTTAGAAGACCACCGATTTATATAGTCCCTGAAAGGAAGAAGGCAAAAATGATATGAGAGAACAAGCAGTTGCACTGTGTCCTATTTTAAAAATATTTCTATAGCAATAGTGCTTTACTGCTTTGATACAGCTCTCTTACCTCCCTTAAAAAACATGAAAAAGCAATTAAAGCCATTTAAATTTGGGATTAATCCAGAAAAGGCTCAGTATAAATCCCACTGTTCCTCATGCCTCTGTTTCATAAATGTGAGGCAAGCTTGCCTTCTTTTTCCATGCAATCCCCATCAAGAAATCTAGCAGCAATAGATTGGTTAAACTCAAGTATGCGGTTGGGTCATGCTGTGCAACTTACTGTGAAACATAATTTTTCTGTATCAGAAAAACAGAAATGCCACATAAATGCCAGAGGAAGTTGTGCATGCTCCAGTCCATGATAACATCAAGGGCCATAAACAAATAGTGTTTCCATAAAGATGTATAGCGAGGCCTCCCATCCCCGAAATGACTGAAGCTCCACGGTCGGTGGGTCAGAGCCGTTATGACATTTCTATCAGCTTGCCTCATCTAAAAGACCAAACACAAAAGCTAAATACATGCATCCTGATATCTAAATAATGTTATAATACAAGAGATTTAACAATGCCTGGTTTCTGGCAGTTTGGGGTTTTTAGGAAAAACAAGGCTGAGAACCAAACTGCAAATCATTGTGTTGTAGAAAGATCCACATTGTTTTGCATTAAAATCCAAAACACTGACTTAGAAGAATACCCCACTGATTTTTTTCCCCATGAGTGTTTACTTCCAACTTCAACAGCTGACCTTGCTCAGAAATGCTTCAGCATTTCATGATACAACATTTAAAGATCAGTAGTTCATTCAATGCATATTTACTGTACTTTAAAACATAACTACTCCCACCTATTGCATACAGAAGATTACCTGTTATTGACTGTTTCCTCAAGGAGCTGAAGTGGGGTATTAGTGTTATAAATTGAACACACAAACATTAAAAAATACTGAGAAAAACACATTTCTTCACCATGCAGCCATTGTAAAACATGAATGTGATCAACCCATGGGCTTAATCCAATGAACTCTTCTTAAAAGTGACTTTCCAATTTAAGGAAGGACCAGTAATTACTCTATTGACTATTTTAAAATAAACTAGATTATTTTAAAGCTCTGAAAGATAGTCTATGCTTCCCTGTCTATGAGATACATTTCGCGCACCTTGTGTAACACCTAACTTACTCAAAAACTTCCTATCATGTCAACAGTGGCAAGAAATAATGAGATATTAATAACATTCTGAAAGCTTCACCTTATAGATAACATCTGGCATAAATGAACAAACGACACTGGTATTGTACAGCCGGGGATATTCCAGGTAGAGATGTTTCAGGGCTGCAACTGCCTGCCAGAAAAAGGAAAATGGCATGAAAGAGCTATAGAACACTTAACATTATTTTTCTAAATAACATTGGACAAAGGCAGTTTTTTTCTTGTTCTTTTCAGTTGCTGGAGGCAATTCTTGTGTAAAAGATGCTAATGACTAAAGTGGCATGTGCAGAGCAGATGGTGCAAGATAATTAGTGCTTTAAAAAAAAACATCAATCTGGGTGAACGGAACAGTATTTGTACTAATGTACGTGAAAAAGCTGCGTTCAAAAACAGCAACTTATTTTAATTTAAAAGACCATGGATTTAGGGAAAGACTCAGAATTCAGCACTTGAGTCAATGAAGAAGCTTCCAGCCTCACTCTTTTGATTATGTCAAATAAAAGGTTTGACAGCTTCTACCTTCTAGTGCTAGAGGAGAATAACTCTATGCAAACAGCCACATACCTTCATGCAATTTACTCCATATTAATCAGAAAAACTGATTGCTGTTGGTAAGTGCCTTATTTTTTTTTAAATTCCACCACCTGCCCCTGCCTTAACAGAGCTCTATGAATTGGAGAAAAAGCATTTCTGAGAAAACCTTAAGCCAGTCATTACTTTAGGACCATGAATAAAAAAACAGTATTAAAAACATCACTTAGTCGGTTTCAGCATTTTATCGTCAGAACTTTTTGTTGAATGGAAGCTCTACAGGAAGGGAAAAGCTTTTGATGTGTAGCTGTTAAAAGAGTACCTGATCTGCGTGCCCCTTGACATCAAAGTAGATGATGAGGTCATGTTGCAAACTTTCCAAAACAGCTTCTTTTAGAGTTGGTATTTTTTCCCCACGGTAATCCCTCCTGGAGGAAAATCACCACAACTACTTGAAAGGTGTGCACTTCAACAGAAAAGTATCCAATAAAAAAAAAAAAAAGTCCGCTCCCATTCATACTGTACCACCACTAAAGATCTAAGGATCTATTCCACTAGGAGGGGAAAATAAATTCTTAAAAGTCCTTTAAAGATCCCTGAGTGATCAGTGATTTCAGTGCCTGAAGACATGACTTTCTATTGGGAAGCTGTAATCCACAAAGTATATGCGTGTCTTTCCCATTCAAGTCAACAAGACAACAGTGAAATTACATTTCTGGATTGCAACTTAACTTCTAAAAGAATTAAAATTATATAGAAACTATTTCTGGGATGTGAGTGAACTACAGATTGTTCCCTTACCATAATCTATGTTTAGCAGCTGGATTAAACTGTCGAATCTCAGCAAAGGTCAAAGCACGTAAGCTTCCAGAGCCATCGGTGGTCCTGTCCACCGTGCTATCGTGCATCAGGATAGGAATTCCATCAGCCGTGAATTCAAGGTCGAGTTCCACACCTGTTGCTCCATTCTCAGCTGCCTTGAGGAACAAAGTCAAGGATTTCAGAACAGAACATGGGAACATAAGGTGGGCTTTTTAGCTGAATGTGCTCGGATAACTTTGTATTGGAAATGATCAAACCAGTCTGCCAGCTACAGCCTCGACACCTGGTTTTCAATACCTGAAACAACGGTGTGTTTTTGGCCAGGCTCTGCAAGGTTTCCTATTCTACCTGGAGTCATTCATATAAGTGCAAAATGGCTGTTAGCCAGAACTTGATGAAAACTACCTGCACCAAATTATAGCCCTAAAATAATGTTAGCAGGGTCAGATTTTCATTAAACTAGAACAGCAGAGCAATCCCTTAATCAGAGAGATGGGGGTGTACAGTTTTGTAAAAATTAATTAAGAACACTTTTTTGCTTCAATATGTATCTTTTATTAACAATGATCCCAGTTGAGGAACAACAACATCCAGATTGTTAGTCTCACAGCTAACCATAAATAAATAAATAAATAAATAAATAAATAAATAAATAAATAGTCTTGCATTGTGGTTAGTATTTTTTAATTATGTGAGGATAAACTTGGATTTTTAAGATGCTACAAGACTCTTTGTTTTGGCTAAAGTTTATCAAATGCACTGGCAATCCACCTTCTGCTCCTCCACTCTAACACTTCACCCAAGCCAGTGTTTCTCAACCTCAACAACTTTATAGATCTGTGGACTTCAACTCCCAGAATTTTCCCATGCTGGCTGGGGAATTCTGGGAGTTGAAGTCAAAAGTTGCTGAGGTTGAGTAACATGACTTAAGCAATGAGGGCTAATCAAAATGGCTACTTACAAATACAGGGGCAACTAAAAACAAATGTTCAAACTACAGCATTTCATCCTTTGAATATCAAGGTTGCAATCCCAAACTTGGAAAGCTCAGTGACAGAAGATATGCAAATTTTCCCTTGTTGACATCACCAGGGAGGGTTGGAAGACCCTTTGGGGCAGCTGGAAGACTGTCAAAATAGTTGTTCCTCATCTGACAGGGCTTCTGTGACCAAGTGCTGCCAGAGTGTGGGGTTAAAGGACTTCCTCAAGGTAGCACTGACTGGATCAGCCATGTTGCGCAAACACCCAAAAGAATAGGGCGCGTTAAGACCGCAGGTCATATCAGGCAGTTAAGTGATACAACAGATATGTATCATCTTTACATGGGGATATTTGGAGAAAAAGCAAAGCCATTACAATTTCATGCCCAATCTAGCAGAAGCCACTAAAGCTGAAAATAAACATAGATGCCATCTTTTATAATGCAAAAGAATGATGTTAGGTGTGAAGGCAGAGTTCCCATTCAGAAATCAGCAAAGGCCACCCAAAAAGCATTAGTAATCTGGTTTCTACAAGCCATTAGAAAAAGACAACAGGGTAAACAGCTTCTCTCATAAATTCCCTTCTGATCAAATCCACCGCGCATTATCTTGGGAAGCGGACAGTTACTATATTTACCTTTAATGATTCACAAATATTTGCAGGTAATCTCCCTTGCTAATTTGATGCTTCTGTTTAGGAGGTTCTTGGATGTTTTAATCACTCCCGTTTGCAAACCAAACAAGCACAGCCCTTCCTTTGTTTATCATGCATTTAATTGCAATTGCTTGCTTCCAACAGGTTTTTAATCCATCAAGGCCCTCTGCTAGGATTCATCTGATTTAGTAAAAGTAGCAGTGGAAGACCCATCTCACCTTCTTTATTTCTGTGAGTTTCTGTTAGCCCCTCAGATCCTTCAGGAACAAGAGGCAAATATTGTAAATAAATGAATAACTTTCTGAAATCCATGCTGCCTGTCGCACTATCCCTTTAAAGTTAAATCGGAAGTATAATTTACGTATAACTGAACATCAATAGGATTTATGTGGTTGGTGATGCACAATAATGCTTTAACTAGCTTAGAGTAATATTAATTTTCCTAGGCCTTACACTTTCAGCTATCCTGCAAAGCGGGGAGTTAAATGTACTGGTTCAATTCTAAATTTCCTAGAAGATGGCTAGCTTCTAGGACAGGCAGGTGTTTTATCTGTTGACTGAGGAAAAGGCTGTATCTGTCATTTCTGGTCAATGTCGTGGGACTGCAACTTCCATTATCTCTCGATCGTTGTTGTACTGACTCTCAAGTTGATGAACTTGGAGAAAAAAAAGTAAGTTCTCCACCACTGCTTCATTCATAAAAGGGGTACAATTCATACTTACAATTCTTACTGCTCTAACATTTTGCAGGCAACCCTATAGTAAGTCAAGCAATGGCTCAGCCCCAGTTCAGTCATGTCTAGCATGTTGTACTGATGCAACCAATATGATTTAGCCATAGATGTGCATACTCAAGACATCCTATTTCCCAGAAAGTCATACATATACATATACACAGGCTGCCTATCCCAGATACCTTTACAAGCGTAATTTATTTTCTGTTTGTAGGCTTCTCTCCCAATTTCACCCATGTAGCTCTCCAAAGTGTATAAACCAAAGCTTATTTCTACTTCTCATAGGTTGCAACTTCTCCCCACTCCCAACCAGTCATGTTTTACAGATACTCACAAACATACACAAGCCATCTTTCATGTAATTATACTTTAGAGTATTCCTTCCATCGACTTTTGCCAAGCTACCTTTCCAATAATAATTTTTCAGTATAGCATGCCTGAGCTGTAAGCACCTGGATGACCATTACGTGTTAGCAACAAATGTGTATTTGCTGCCATCCAGATGGCCTCCTAATGTTTGCAGCCCAGATGTAGTATATCTAACTACACACAATACATACTAGATATGCAACCACATGCACACAATATACACATGCAAATACATACTTCCTCATATATGTAGTCACATAACACATGCTGTGCCCTCAAACCAACTTATAGACCCACACACATACAATACATATAAAATATAAAAATGCAGACGCAGTGGTAATACTATACATACATACATGCATATGCAAACACAATACACACTATACTGTATGTACTTATACATATATACCCAGACATAAATTTCTCATCTGGAGAAGCACCAGCTGTCAGCAAGGAGTGGGCATTTACTGCCATCCAGATGTCCTAATGTCTGCAGTCCAGATGTGGTATGTCTAACACACAAATACTGTAATACATATTAGATATGCGCCCACATGCATACAAGATATACTATACACATGCAGACAATGCATTCTCTCTGTATGTACGTAAGTATGTGTGTGTATGTATATATGTATATACGTATATACATACATACATACATATATATATGCCACACAATACCTACTGTACCTGCACACCAATTCATAGAATGCACACATGGGATGCATACCAAATATAAACAGACACAGTAGTAATGCTGTACATATATATGTATACATATGCGCACACACTATACATATGTGTCCAAATACGTATACGCCCATACATAAATTTCTCATCGGGAGAAGCGCCAGCACGGAGTGCGCATTTGCTGCCATCCACATGTTTGCAGCCCAGATACACTGTGCCTACCGTGCACGCACACAATAAATGCTCTATACACCCAATAAATGCTACATACGCCCCGGGCACGCAAAATGCTACACCCACACCACACCCCCACGACTACTCTGCACACACAATAAATGCCACCCACACCCTCAGCGCGACCGACCTGCCGGATGGCAGCCAGCGTGTTCTCGGGCGCGTCGTGCCCGGCGCCGCGGTGGGCGATGCGGGAGGGGTTCCCGCGCGGCTGCACCACCAGCTGGGCGCGCTGCGGAGCGACCGGCTCGAGACTGAAGAGGCGCAGCGCCACGTAGAAGCCGCCCGACAGCGCGCAGGCCAGCGCGGCGCTCCGGC